TCATGCATGAATAATTGTAACACTGTACTGTTTTCACGAATCACGAAAAAGGAAGATAGATAATGTGTAGTATTACGTTTGACAAAACTATTTAATAGATATTACCTTATAAGAAATGCTCAATAAATTGTACGGTTATTGAAGTTTTAAAATAATAAAAAAATGACTTTTGAATTTTTTGATAAATTATCTCAAGATTTTTCGGAACTTCTTAATGACAAAAAAGATTATAATGTTGTTATTGAAGTTGATAAAGGAGAAAATATGAAATATTTTACTGCACATTCAATTGTCTTACGTTATCGTTCATCCTACTTTGATAAAGAATTAGAGAACGTTACTACGAATGAAAATCATATCAAAACTTTTATTAAGCCAAATATTTCTGTTCAAACATTCGAAATTATTCTTAAGTACGTAAAGAATTTATTTGTTACTTTAAATATTAAATTATTAATAAGATAGAAAATATATTTTATAGATATATCTATGGTGGAATTGTTGATATTGAAAATATGGATACAAAAACTATTTATGAAGTAATGGTTAATGCAAATGAATTAGAACTTAAAGAACTATCAGTAAAATTAGAAAGTTACCTTATCGAATCTAAAGCTTCTTGGTTAAGAACTCATTTCTCCTTTGTTTATCATAAAATCTTTGGTTGTGACAGATTTAAAAGGTTGAAAAAATATTATAATGATATTATTACAAAACATCCAAATTTGATTTTTGAATCTGAAGATTTTACTTCACTCCAAGAAACAACATTGGTTTCTATTTTACAAAGAGATGGCTTGAAAGTCGAAGAAATTAAAATTTGGGATTATGTTATTAAATGGGGAATTGCAAAAAGTTCTACTTTACCTACTAATTTGGAAGAATGGTCTAATGAAAATTTCCAGACTTTGAAAGCAACCTTACAACAATGTTTACCAAATATCCGATATTTTCATATTTCTGGTGAAGATATTTGGGAGAGAGTGAAGCCTTACGAAAAAATTCTTGAAAAACAGCTTTGGGATGACATGATCCAACGGCAGATGTTCCCAAATAGAACTGTTAAATCACTTGTTTTACCAGCAAGAATCATTTCAAATTCGGAATTGCCTTCAAGAACAATTTTAATCCCTGAATTATTGTCAAAAGTAAATGAATCATTCTCGACTATAATCAACAAAGAACATGTAGCGGAACTTTCATCATGGATTGATCGAAAATCAATTACTTATTCTTTATCAAATATTCCTTATGAATTTCAATTAATTCTTCGAGGAAGTCGAGATGGTTTTCGTCCCAAAACATTTTGGGAGATGTGTAATGAATATGCTGGCACAATTGTGATTGCTAAGGTTGCTGGAACTGATGAAATAGTCGGTGGTTATAATCCTTTAGCTTGGAATAATTCATCAGGAGGTGCTTGTACGGTAATAAATGACAGTTTCATTTTTTCGTTAAAAAATGGGGATATTCAAAATTCAATTCTCAGCAGAGTTGTAAATAATATCAGGGCTTCAACCAGTGGTATTATCAGCCGATTAGTTGCTGGCATTCATTCTGATAAGAATATTTATGGACCAAAATTTGGTAATTTTGAATTTATAATGAAATCGAATGCTTCCGATTTTACTCAAGATGAACAATGTTTGTGTGATTATGATACTAGATATATTAATTATTATGAAAAACCTATTAGAACAATTAATGAAAATTTTTCTATTGTAGATTATGAAGTATTTAAGATTATTAAAAAACGAATTCCAAACTGTACAATAAGATAAATAATATTATTATCTAAATAGTTTACATATTTCAATGATAATAAAATCTATTTATTAAGTAAATTCAAACATCGCTATATTTTACTTAAAATTAAAAATGATAAAAGTATGTGAACTTTTACTAATGACTATTTAACCGACAATGTAATACAATAAAACAATTTCTGGAATAGTTTTCGATTGTATTCTCGTTATAATTATTATTTCTACATTAATGAGAATGTAAAAAGGTATTTTTATTGTATAAATAATAATTTATTTCATTTACATGCATTTACAAAATTATTATACTTTTTGATATTTTTTAGAATCTTTCAAATATAAGGGTAACCATTTTATTATTTATCAAGATAATAATTTACATTTAGTTGAGTCTTTTTAAAATGCCAAAGGTTATATTACATGTATTTTAGCTCCAGAGAAAAGTAACTTAGATCGCATTCATTTCGGTCATATTTATTAATGTTTTCTATTTGTGATAAAACAATACCTGTTAATGGCAGTAAAAAAAGTAGTATGATATGGGTTGAGAAGATTTTAATATTAATTTATTGATTAAATTTTAATGGGGAAAATATTTAATGTAAAATTTAAACTTGTCTTTTCTCATCAACATTTTTAAAAAGAGGCTAAGATTTTGCTTTTTTTCTTTTTTTTTGCAGAACAATTCTTGATTCGATATTATATTTATTCAAAAACTTTCTTTAATGTGGCAAAAATTGTTTATTTATTTAAGTTTGTTACTTAAGTATATTTTCTAACAAACCAACAATAAAATTTTTTTCTACTAAAGAAGTGTTCTCACTAAAATTAAAATTTCAATCTTGTATATACTAAATCTGGATTTCATTGCTCCTCAAGGAAAATATAAGCCAACTGACGATTTCAAGATTATTTCTGCTGTCCAATTCTTGGTATAATAAATAATACTAATTACAAACATTTTGATTGAAGAATGGAATTAAAACACTCCATCCCACCGTTAATAATAGTACTACAAGTAGTGATAATAATAATATTACTAGTAGTAATATTATTTTTAATAATTAATTTATTATTAAAATTGGCAATAATTAATTTCTTACATCATTATTATTACGTACCTATAATAATAATAACGATGGTCATTGTTAAAAAAAATTATCTCAAGTGACTAACATAGCAATTTTTTCAGCTATTATAATAATGATATTATGGTTTTAATAATTAATAGCCTATCTTGTCGTGAATATAATTTCATCATCATCATCATCACATCATCAAATAATGTTAAATTATCATATTTCATTTTCTAATCCTATTGTTCAAAGGAATTACCGATTTCCAAATTGTATGTATACACTATTCCATTATTCAAAAGATTTTGAATTTTTTACAGTAGTGTAACATTTACGTTACTAACTACGTAATTATATTAGTATGAATTTGGTGATAATAATATTGATTATAATTATAATTATTATTATTTCTTATTGGAGTCGTTTGTGTTAATTGTGTCTTATCTATTTGTTATAACGTTGGTACTGTTATTATTGGTGTTTTTTTTTTTTTGCAATTTTGGTTGTTGTTATTGTTGGAAATATTAATGATTCATCGTTATTATTAATCATAAAATTGTTTAATATATCCAATGGTGATATTTTCTGTATTTTTGATATTGTTTTAAAACCAGTTTTATTGTTTTCGACGCCATGAATTACTATTATCTGTAAAAAAATGTAATGTTATAAAAAAAAATGAACATATTGTTATAAATCAATCATAATTATATTTATAAGGATTTTTATTATTATTTATAGCATTATTATTACTAATGTTATTAGTTATATTAGTTGTAGTAAATCAGTGAAAAATGGTTATTGTGACGATAAATGAAACTAGGAAAACAAATTATTTTATATTATAATTTTTAAATTAAATTGTTGTGTAATTGAGATAATTAAAATAATAATAATGAATTTAATTTACCCCACATAAATTCTATTAAAGGATTCAATCTCATTTAAATTGTTATTTTCAATTTAATCAATCGATAACCATTCTTCTTTTAAAATGATGATGGTGGTAAACAAAAAATAATAATATGGTATTTTAAGCCTAATTAGCGTTTCCTTGATTTCTCCACTTTGAAATTAATTTTTTTAATATAAATATCAAAACTAAATAATCAAACATAATAAATATTATATGCGAGAAAATGTACCTCGAGGTAATTATTGTCCTTCAATTATTTCTTTAAACTCGAATAATTTAGGATAACGACTGACTTTTTCTTTTTCTATGGATATCTTTCAATTCTTCGTATCTACATCAGATATATATTTTCTTTAACTTATAATATCCTTTCTTATGATATTAACTTTTGACACATTAAGTGCCAATAATAATTACCATCTTTTAATATTTCAAAAATTCTTTTGCTCGCCTATTATATAATAAAAGTATGATAATTGATGATGATGATAACGATTGATGATGATAAGAATATTATTATTAAAACTTTTTTTTACAATTAAATGCATAAAATATGATTTAAGCAACGAAAAATATATTATGAATATATGACACCAAATAATGACAAAAAGATTCGTTGCTATGGTCATTTATAATAAATTTCATTGGGAAGTCTTGAGATCATCATGATAGTTACAGTGTGAGGTTTTCAACAAAAGAAAAAACACCAAAAACCTGCGCATATATATAAAACGTAAGTGATGAATATGCGTACTGTACTTTTAAAAGGATAAATACCATCTTCTTTCAAAAATTTCATTATACATATTGAATCATATCAAAAGCTGGTTTTTTTAAAATAAAAATAAAAGTGGAAAATAATAATAAAATAATAATTATGAATTCGGTAGATGGATCTGATGATGACGACATCATTCAATTCGAAGAAAAAAGTTTAAATAATTAAGCTCAGCTCAATGACATCAACAACAACAACAACAAACACATCATAACTAACCACCTTAATTAACAGCAACAACAAACGCATCACTAATAACCGCCTTAATTAACAGCGACAACAATAACGGAAAAACATCATCATCAATAAAATTTTATTTCCTGATAACTATAATAATCAAAATAATCAAGAAAATATAAATTCAACATTCCCGAGATTCGCAATATTCACGATTATTAAGCCAACTTCATCGACTTTTCATACAATCCCAATATCATCAGCAGATGCAACAAATGTGACCTTTATCATCATATCGAATCCTCAAATTTTCCAGAAACATTAACTTCTTTAGCGACTCCCTTATTACAATTAACAACAAGTATCCACTCTATTCCTTTAGTGCAATCACTAACTGCTTTTTCAACGTCTTTAACATCATACAATACCAAGATCTATCTCATTTTATAAATCTATCAATTTGTTGATTTTCTTTCCAAATTTTCCAAATATCAACTGCAATAAAAACGATTTCAACCATTAATAATAGAATTAATAATAACAATAATTATAACAATAATTATAGCAATATCGTAATTTGTTCTAATGACTGTCAAATTAGGCTTTTTTTCCGATTGATCAATTGAGCAGATTTAAGATTAGAAATGATGGGAAGATATTTTTAGACCTAAACTGGATTTCAACTGATAGTAAGTTTTTTCAATTATTATAGGTATATTATTAATATTACCATTACCACTATAATCTGTGATAACTTAATATCAACATTTTAACATCATAATTATCTTGATGATATCCGTAATTATTAGATCCAACAATACTGGACATTGATCCAACTGGTCAGGATGATGGAAAAATTTAGTCAAATTTATCTAATATCGATCAAAAATTGAAAGAGTATGGTTCCGTACGCGAAATATATTACAAAAGAAGGACAAATGTAAGTGTTATAAGTTTAAAATACTTAATTGATACTTAATTATGATTATTGATTATAATTGTTCTATCATCATTTACGAGAAACGATTAATATAAATGTCTGGGTTGGTGTCGAATTTCTTTGATTTTATTGTTGTATAGAGTTTTACTATTTATTATTATCATCATTTCGAATCGAAATAAAAAAAAAAGGAACAAAAAAAAAAAAAAAAAATCTCTATAATTTATTATTATTATTATCGTTGTTTCGAATGAAAAAAAAAATGAAGAAAAATAAAACAAAATGAAATAAAAAAAAAGAGAAAAAAAGAATAAAATAGACAGATGAATGAAAATAATAACGTCCTTACGTCCATTTCACCGATTTCGTAGAAAGAAGAACCTATATGCCCACAATTACAGCTCCGTGGAAGCAAAGGGAAGAAGGAAGGCAATTTTTAATAAAAAAAATAGTACTTACATCCTTACGCCCATTTTGCCGATTTTGTAGAAAGAAGGACCTATAACCCACAATTTCAGTTCCACGGAATTAAAAGAAGAAGGAAAGTAAAAAAAAAGGTGAGAAATTTGTTTTTAAAAATTTTTTTAATAAAAGAATAATAATAATAAATTCTTACGTCCTTACGTCATTTCGTCGATTTCGTAGAAAGAAGAACCTATATACCCACAATTTCAGCTCCACGGAATTAGAAGGAAGAAGAAAAGTGAAGAAAAAAGGTGAGTAAATTTGATTCTAAATTTTTTTAATAAAAAAATATAACTAAATACTCGCATCCTTACGTCCATTTTTCCGATTTCTCAGATTTCGTAGAAAGAACCTATATACTTTCGATTACAGCTTCACGGAAGTAAAGGAAAGAAAAAAAAGGTGAGTAAATTGTTTAAATTTTTTTTGATAAAAAAAAATAATAAATACTTACGTCCTTACATCCATTTCGCCGAGTTTGCCGATTTCGTGAAAGAAGGAAAAGGAAGAAAAAAATTTTTTTTAATAAAAAAATAATAACAATAAATACTTGCGTCCATTTCGCGATTTCACGATTTCGTAGTCAAAAGGTTATGCAGTGCTGAATTTTAAATAGGCAGGGATGATATCTATACATTTCGGACACAAAGCGGGATCTATCAATCTACAGGACCGCTCATTACAGTTGACGGAATTCTGAAATTTTGAAACAACTAATAGAAAATCTGCGTGGCAAAGCCACGGAAGAATCTAGTTCTTTTGAAATAATTACCAATGATAATCATAATTCTTATGCTTATACATGTTCCTATTCCTATACTTCCCATTCAGATAATAATCATTAGGATTCAGATCTTTTTCCCGTTTCGAAATTAATTTTAATATGATAACCTAATAATATATGAATACGTGATATGTGATAGTGGATTTACCGTGAAATCAACGACAAAGTCGTGAAATTCTGACGGTATAGGCGATTGAGCGGTAAATGACAGATCAGGTACTAACACCATTGATATTTTCTCGGACATATTACATTATTATTGTGGTAAAAATTAGCGGTATGCTTTTAGGATGACATATTTCGGCATTGCGTAATAATGATATTTCCCAAAAAAAATAAGATTTCGATAGTAAATCTAAGAAAATATCAATGTGCAAAATACATATCACAATTAGTAAACGGGGTATAAAATATGATAAGATATAATAAATAATCAAACATAAAAATAGACAATAAATATTTGAGAAAATGTTGTACCTCGAGGTATTTCTTGTCCTTCAAATATTAAGCTCTTCGAATACCACCATTGTTACAGATTTCTGTGGTAAATACCGAAATAGGGTAAGCGGTGACAATAAAAATTAATACATTAAACATAAATTAATAAAACTATAAGTTTTGGAAGCCATCGAAATTTGATAAATTGATTTGAATTATTATTTTTAAATTTCTTTGAATTGTCGTTGTTGTTATTCTCTAGAAAATACACCCTTCCCTATAGACAATAATAAATTTTAATTACACTTATTTCGACAATTTTAGTATTTATTTAATTAACAATAACGAAATCTATTATGGATTTCCAAAAAGATATCCTATTTATAGTTAAACAATGAGATTTGGATGTTCATGAAAACCAGAATTTTCTAAGAGCATTCTTAATACAGATCGGTTAAACAAAATGGATTATTTAATAAAGTTCTAATACCTAATGAATTTTCCAAAACGAAACAATTTTAGAAATTAGCAAATAGAATATTCTATGGTAAGACAAACCAATTTGGAAATTAGAAAAATATTTATAAACGACTAATGACTAGCCTGAAATTTCAACTTTACCATCCTAAAACATATAAAAATTATAAAATTTTACTACTCTCATACTGTGCAACCTTGGTTTAGATAGTAAATTCATCACATTCAAATCTACTCGAATTCGTATATAAAATATATTAAATTTCAAAATTTATTCTTTTTAAAAACTTATATTCCCTGCATAAATGGAATATATATATTGTGATAAAAATGGAATCACAGAAGATGAGGAAATGTTTCAGTGGCTCTTAAAATCCGCTGGAGAAGGGAATAGTGATGTACAGAATTATCTTGCACGTTGTTATGAACATGGAATAGGAACCACAAAAGATGAAGAGAAAGCATTTCAGTGGTATTTGAAATCAGCTCAAAGGGGAGATATTACTGGACAATTAGATATTGGACGTTGTTATAAAAATGGGATTGGAACTGCAAAAGATGAAGAGAAAGCATTTCAGTGGTATTTGAAATCAGCTGAAGAGGGAAATATTATTGGACAATATAATCTTGGACGTTGTTATGAAAATGGGATTGGAACTACAAAAGATGAAGAGAAAGCATTTCCGTGGTACTTGAAATCAGCTGAGGGGGGAGAAAGTATTGGACAGTCTGATCTTGGATATTGTTATTTAAACGGAATAGGAACCACAAAAGACGAAGAGAAAGCATTTCAGTGGTACTTGAAATCAGCTGAAGGGGGAAATATTACTGGACAATATAATCTTGGACTTTGTTATGAACATGGGATAGGAACCACAAAAGATGAAGAGAAAGCATTTCAGTGGTATCTGAAATCAGCTGAAGGGGGAAATATAGCAGGACAACATAATCTTGGTTGTTGTTATCAACGAGGAGTTGGAACAACAAAAGACGAAGAGAAAGCATTTCAGTGGTATTTGAAGTCAGCTAAAGGGGGAAATAGTAAAGCACAGTTTAATATTGGAGATTGTTATGAAAATGGGATTGGAACTACAAAAGATAAAGAGAAAGCATTTCAGTGGTACTTAAAATCAGCCGAGGGAGGTGAAAGTATTGGACAGTCTAATCTTGGATATTGTTATTCAAATGGAATAGGAACCACAAAAGATGAAGAGAAAGCATTTCAGTGGTACCTGAAATCAGCTGAAGAGGGAAATATTACTGATCAATATAATCTTGCAAGTTGTTATCGACATGGGATTGGAACAACAAAAGATGAAGAGAAAGCATTTCACTGGTACTTGAAATCAGCTGAAGGAGGAGATAGTAATGGACAAAGTAATCTTGGACTTTGTTACGATGATGGAATAGGAACCAAAAAAGATGAAAAGAAAGCATTTCAGTGGTACCTGAAAGCAGCAGAAGGGGGAAATATTACTGGACAACATAATCTTGGTGTTTGTTATGAAAATGGGACTGGAACCACAAAAGATGAAGAGAAAGCATTTCAGTGGTACCTGAAATCAGCTGAAGGGGGAAATATTACTGGACGACATAATCTTGGTGTTTGTTATGAAAATGGGATTGGAACAACAAAAGACGAAGAGAAAGCATTTCAGTGGTATATGAAATCAGCTGAAGGGGGAAATATTACTGGACAATTTTATCTTGCACAATGTTATCAACTTGGAATTGGAACAACAAAAGATGAAGAGAAAGCATTTCAGTGGTACTTGAAATCAGCTGAAGGCGGGAATGATCATGGTCAACAAATAATTGAATTTGCCCATAGAGATGAATATAAAATCTCTACAATTAAGAAAAATCAAAATAAATTAAAGCAAAATACTAATAGTAAGGATATAAGTTTAGTACTTTCAAAATCTTCCATTAAAAATTTAGACGAAGGTTTAAATGTTAAAACTCACAACTGCTGTATTTGTTGGCAAAAGAATGGTTGCATTGAAATCTGCAGAAAAAATTTTCAAGATTCTGGTAGATGTCATAATTGTGGAAATTTAAATATAAGAAAAAATGTATGTAAAGATTGCAGATCTTTAGAAGTGAAATATATGACATTTTCTTTAGATGTTAATAATATAGTTAATGTAATTATCCAAATGACAGAGTTAGATGAAAATGCAGATCAGTGGGAAATTTGGAGATGGATTGATTATAGTAAATTGAAAGATATTGAATATTTAGATGAAGGAGCATTTGGCACTGTTTGGAAAGCAGAATGGATAGATATGCCTGAAGAGATATTTGAAATATACAATTTCAATCAAGTTGCTTTGAAAAAACTTAAAAATTCAAATAAAATGAGCATTGAATTTGCAAGAGAGGTAAATATTAAATATATTAATACTTAAAATATTTTGTGCATTATATATAAATATAATTATTTTATATCTTTATAATTATACAGTTACTAGCAAATTTCTTCTGTCGTTCCAAATATGTTCTGCCAATTTTTGGTATAACTCAAGATCCAAAGACACTGGAATATGCATTAGTTTTAAGATATATGAAAAATGGAAATTTAAGAAATTTTCTTCAACAAAATAAAGTATTATCATGGACTGAACGATTAGAGTTATTGCTTTCTTTTCTCAGAGGATTAGAAGTTATTCATTATAAAAGACACATTCATTGTGATCTTCATCCTGGTAATCTAATGATTACTGATACATATGAGAATATAAAATTCATAAGAATAGGAGATTTAGGATTTTGTAAACCTGCAGATGAAAGTACATCATCTCAAATATATGGTGTATTACCATATATTGCACCTGAAATATTAAAAAAAAATCCATATACTCAAGCTTCTGATATATATAGTGTTGGAATTATTATGTGGGTAATATCAACAGGGAAAATACCATTTTCTGATAGAGCATATGATTATGAATTAGCTTTAGCAATTCTTGAAGGACTTCGACCTAAAATTAAAGAAGGCACACCTCAATGTTATGCAGAATTGATGAAAAAGTGTTGGAACAAAGATCCATCCAAACGTCCAAGTGCTGAAATCATTATAGGTATACTCGATGAATGGGTCTTTAGATTGACAATTAATGAACAAACTGAAGATTCACTTATGTTTTTAAATGCAAATCAAGAAATACAAAATGAAGATTTTGAATTATCATCTGTTGAAACTATTCATTCTGAAGCATCTCTCATAAGCAAACCTTTACCTATTTTACCTCCTTTTCAATATTCAAATTTTAGTCTTAGCAATACTGATTGGAACGAATTGTTTGGATAATAATTCATATATGATATTCGAATATCAATTTATATGATCAGTTTAAATTACTATTATTAAATTTTATCTTTCATCTTATCAGTTATGATTTTTTTAATGATTTGATAAATATATAAAATATTAACTCAAAACTTTTATTTATGTTACAGAAAAGTTGTATAGCAATAAATCTTTGACAATTTGATGTTATGATCCACTTTTATAAAGTTGTCACACTCCTAAAATTTGTATTATAATTTACTAGTCAATACACACAACTCCAATTAAGTAAATTCTGATGGTCCCTAATAGATAAAATAAAATAAATAATCTATGAGATACTGCCATTCTTGAAATATTTAAATTGATAATTTATTTTATATTTAAATCTTAAATTAGAGTAAATATACTAAATAAGATTCAGATAAATATTTCTCAATTAATCACATTTATTCAATATTGTATAATAAATATTTTCTATCTAAAAAATAAATCAAACAAATAATTCCTTTCTCATTTGTTTTTTTTATTGTTTTTTAAATACTTATATAAATTTATACACAGTATGCACAGATATATTGGTTAACATTTAATTTATCTTGTATTTTATAGTTCGGAGCTATTAACTCAACAAATATTATAATGCAATGCCTGTAGAGTAAAAAAATCTTCATGTTGAAAAAATCATAATATTTATAATACGTGGCCATGGACTTACGAGATATTTTTTTTTAAAAAAAATTTATCATATTATATTTATTGAAGTTATTAAACTATACATTATATTGAATTTCATTATTAAGATATAATTATTCCAAAATATTTAAAATCATTACAAATTAACAAAATAAATTTTGTCTTTTCTCAAAAACTTTTTTATAAAAAGAGACATACAAATTTGTTACCACGACTCGATTTGAGATTATACTTCTTAAATATGGCAAATAATTGTTTATTTATTTGTGTTTGTTCCTAAATTTTTTCTTCGTTTCTTTTTCTTCTCTAACGAACAATGAAATGTTTAATTACTAAAGAAATGT